CCCCAAAACCCCAAAACCCCAAAACCCCAAAACCCCTAAGCCGTAAGTACTGATTGAAACACCACTCAGAATAAACCAAAACCCATTATTCGAAAAATCTATTAGTTAATAATTGTATGAATATTGCTTGATCGGTAGGGCTAATCTATGAAGGTCCGACGGGATCTGAGCAGAAAGGATTCTTTCTCTAGGTCGGACATTCATTTAAACTCAGATTCCTGAAACTCTTCCGAAAATGGAGGTATTTGGGAATCGTAGATCATTCATTCACTAGATCTAAAAGTATGCTCATTTTCTGATCCTTCTCTATCCAGAGGGTCTTCGCAGAGGTCCCGAAACAGTTCAGTATAGCTGGCAGCAGCGGAGGGGTTCTTCTCTTCAGTAATGCTTTCCTTTTCCTCCTCTTGATGCTGTCCACCCAGGGGTTTCTTGTTCAATAATTTTTGTTCTTGTCAGAAATTCTTCCGATCCTGGTTAAGATCAGACCTTCTAATTTTGCAAGGATTCTGAAAATTTAGTGTACTCTTAACTAACTCATCTACAACCTTGTTATAATCAAACAGAGGACATGAAAGCTCTTTCAGGTTGATATCAGCTGCAGCGGCCTCGCTGGAGCCCACTGATATTTTTACTGGAAATAATTTATTCAGCTCGAGTTCTGCGTTAAAACTAGTCATCGGAGATGACTCATTTTGTTCGATCTTCCTCAGAGCTTTCCTCTTGTCAAACCCCCACTTGTATATCTGATGAGTGCGGAGCCTAAGGAACTTTTTACAGTGCTGAACTGTTTTCCTGGACCAGGCCGGATCTTTCCTAAACTGGTCTTCCAGGAACTCAATTTCCTCACTAGTTTTTATTCTGACCATCCGAGATTTCTGCTTTATACAGGTTCCTTCCTGGATTTTGGCTTTAGAGATTTCTCCAGAAGTTCTTGAAGATTCATTATTTTGATAGAAAAGTTGCCTATATTAGTAGGATAAGCATCTGAAATGAAAGCAGAAGGTTAACTAGATCGGAAATTTAGAAGAAATAGAGCTTAAAACTGTTACATTTCTCTCACAAAGAACACAAAAAGGTGCCTTAGAGGCTTGCTAGGGCATCAGAGTGAATGTTTAAAGGAACAAAGAGCCATATAGGTGCTTTTAAGCATGGCTTATTATATGAAGAGAGTCACTTACCCTTGGTTTGCTTGCAATTGACTTGGAGTAGCCACAATATTCATGCTTTAAATTAATTAGGAAGTTCTCTGACTCTCAACCTTAAATACGATATTCGGGGTTTTGGGGTTTTGGGGTTTTGGGGTTTTGGGGTTTTGGGG